CCCACCATTCAGTGCAGGGCTGTTCCTTGCCTGCTTCAGCTTCCGGCCCACCCATCCCATCCTGACGGCGAGGAGATGGAACAGGCTTCGGGATGAACAACCTTCTTGCTCATCTTAAACTAGAACCCTGTGTAAGAAAGCTGGTTATCAACAACCGTGTGCGTCGCATACCGTCCAGGGAGCATCAGCGTCGCCATCGTGTTCTGTCAGCTGCACCTCGTAGTCCAGGCAGTGCGGGGGCGCACCCCCAGCAGGAGGGCTCCATTCCACGTGAACATCCTCATAGGCAGAAATGGAAACCGACAGCTTCTCAGGTGGAGAAGGTTTGACTGAAAAGGAGAGAGACAGGATCAGACCTTCCACTGGAGAAATCATTGTTCCTTTCAGTACTGGTTGAACTTCAGCGGCTTCTCCTGAGACCGTACCCAGTGTCCACTGTCGTCCTGACAACCAGCTGCATGATGTGGGCTGCGTTGAAGACAGATGTGGCCATTATACTTCATTCCGAATGTCAGTGTGAATTAGATTCTTCCCCTGAAACATGGGCTTTGGTACTAAAGCTCCTTAATGCATGGCAAGTCTTTTGAGAGGTTATTGTAGGTAAATGGCATTGAGCAGCATCACAGTTCAGGGCAACTGGACTTGTATTTCCCTCCATGGTCCAGCCGGGGCACCCATATTTAGGCTTCTGGCTCTCCAGCCGACACCTCTCTTGGGTGGAGACATGCGTCTCTCTCCCTCCTGACCAGGGTATTTTCAGACTGCCGAGCGCCCTGCCTACACTGTGAATTCCCCAGCAACATCAGGACTGCGTTACTTTCCTCCTCCGAGACCAGAAACAGTGTCATTGCCATGGTGAAATCACCACACAGCTCTTTCTAAGCAAGCACCTAATCCTAAGGTAAAAGCATTACAGGAAAAACAATAAAAGAACCTATGGGCATGATAATGAGCTTACCAGATTACACCCAACACCAGCAAGGCTCTAAGCAGTCCTTCAACCCCCTCCCCATAAGGTTTTCCTGCATTTGCCAGGTCATAACCCCTTTGGCTCAGAACAAGAATGAGTCATTCCAACTCTTCCCAGCAAAGATTGGAACCTGTCCATTTGCTGGATCAGAACAAAGGCCCGGAGTGAGGGGGGGGGGTTAATTAATTAATGGAGATATCCTATCTCTTAGCACTGGAAGGGACCTTGAAAGGTCATCAAGTCCAGCCCCTGCCTTCACTAGCAGGACCAAGTACTGATTTTGCCCCGATCCCTAAGTGGCCCCCCTCAAGGATTGAACTCTCAACCCTGGGTTTAACAGGCCAATGCTCAAACCACTGAGCTATCCCTCCCGCACCAGGTTATTTAACCTAAGTCCTTTCTTTGTCTGTTGGTCACTGGAGAATCCAGTCTGACCCAGCCCATGGGAGCCTCTCCAGGTGATGGTACTGCTTGGACGATATTGCAACCCACGTGAATTTGCCTAATCACCCTCCACTGTTCTTAACCCCTGGCAGGGAATTCTGCACAATGCCTGGCCCACAATGATACAGTCATTTAATTCAGTAAGGTTCGTCCAGGATATTGCCGCCATCAGCACATCATCTGTCACTGTGCAAAAGCTTGTAGCAAATCTCCATCTTGTCACTAACTGCACCCGGGTTTGCGTTAGCTTGCTGTTGTGAACCTGGGCGCAAAGATGTCCACACACCAAGGGAACATCCACCCTCTGCCAGAGGCTTTGCCTTCTCTTGTGTACATTTGGGGTCTGAGCGGGAGGAGTCACGGCATTGCCTGCCTCCTGGGGGGAAGCGACAGTGGGGTCCCGTGTTCTTCTACTATAGAAATTGTTAATGATTGCTCCCTTCTTAAGTAAGGGTCTATCATGGACCCATACTGTGCCAGAGAGATTTTTAAGCAGAATTCCACATTAAAATCAATGGCTGTGCATTTGTGAGAGTATTCGGCTTAAAAACCTATGGCATAATACAGTCCATAATACCTAGAGCTTTGGCTTCAATGGTAAATGTTCCAGGACTTCAGATATCCTTTTTGTCAAACCAGCTTTGTCTCATGAGGTTACATATTGCAGACCAGCAGCAAGCTTATTTGTGCCGTCTAAAAATAACGCAATTGCTTGCAATCGCAGAAATTAGAGCTGGAAGAGAGCCCTGGTGAGTAGAGCTGGTCACAAGATGGAAAAGTTGAATAGAAAGAAAGAGCATTCACCGTTAATTTTCTATTTTAAAAAGGCTGTTTTTCATCAGAAAAAGACTTTCAAATGAAAAATGTTGGCCAGCCTTACTCTGGAGTCATTACGGCTGTTCCCAAGCCAGCAGCATAACAATCAGAAGTGTTAATACTAAAGAGATCAGTCAATCCCAGTCACATGCAAACTTCCTAGGTAGAAACATTCTAAATTGCCTTCAAATATAATGATAGCTAAAAGGAGCTAAATTCATAGGTGATGTGTAAAATGGTATACAAAACCCGTTACAGCCCCCTACTCTATTACACAACCTATATCCTGATGTGTCTCTCCCACCACTCAAATCCTGATTATCTCACACGCTTTAATGATTTCATCCTCATGACACCCCCGGGGGGGAGAGAGAGCTCATTCTCCCCATATTACGGCCGGGCAAACAGGGCTACAGAGCTAGTGAGTAGAACGCAGAGAGAGGAACTGATTTTTCAGTTCACTGTCTGTTAAATAAACTAAATTCAGGTCAACTTGAAACAAATATTTTCAGCAAACCAAAGAGTAAAATTTGTTTTGGATCAAAATGTTTCTTTTCATTCTCAAGCCTTTTTAAACATTTTTAATTTTGTAAGAAATGTAAGAAAATTTCAAAACAAAAAGTCATTTCAAATTGGAAAATCAAAATGTTTCTTTTTGAAAGTGTTGGGGAAAAGGGTTTAGATTTTTTCAGATTGTTTTCAGACTTTTTCCACCCCCCAAACAAAAGTAATTTGGTGAATTCAGTACAAATTTGGAAAAATTTTCTGTCAACCTGAATCTGCATTTTTGGCACAAAAATGTTTCAGGCAAAAACTTCTGCCTAGTTCTAATATTAAGTGACTTGCCTAAAGTCATACAGGAAGCATGTGGCAGCCTTCCTCCCTTGGACCAACATATTTATGCGAGAGTGAGGGAACGTAGCCTGGTGCGATTTCCATGCTACGAGGCCCTACCAAGAGACAGTGGAGCACATTTGTTCTCTGTTCTATTAGCTGTCCAAGCCACACTCCTCTTTTTGGTTCCTCGGGGTGCAGCTCCCTCTAAACTCACTTACGGTTTTAGCCAAAAAGTCTAACAGTAACTGTCATACTGCATCCAGTTGTGTATCTCTTGGTTTTAATAAAAAGCTGAAAGGTCCCTGCACTTTTCTGAATGATCACGAGTTGTATTAAGACACAGAGAAGCTGTTTCTGTTCCAATGGCAATTCTTATTCAATCACCCACAGCCAGTAATATGCCACATCAGGCACTAGCCACACAATACAGAACGGAGTCTTTGCTCCCACCAGTACTGACTTCCGGCAGTGCTGCCCCATCATTCTCAGAGTGACGATCATCTGAAGGGCCAGCCAGTGACACAGTCGCTAGGTGAAAGAGGGGAAAACCCCTCTCCTGTGAGCAGGAACCCACCTCCCCACTTTCTCCCAGCATCTGCAACAGTCTGCTTCTTTCCACGGTTATTTACAAAATTCTCCCTTAACATGGGCATTAGGGTGGCACTAGGAAACACCTTTGTAGACCGGTTAGCACATGTAGGGCCAAATCCAGAGGTCTGGGGGAGAGGATAAGTGCAGGTGACTTACACCTACTTCCAGTGTCCTCAATGCGACTGTTAAAACAGTTTAGACATCCTCAGTTGCCACTGTTTACTGAGACATTGAATTTGGCCCTTAGACTGGACTAGAACCAACTGGCTTCTTGTAAGTGAGCCTGTAGTTGATTTTTTTAAAATGTGCCCAGCACTTTCCCCAGCCTGTAAGCGCCTTGAACGCACACAATAGTTACTGCAAAGTTTGAAGACTTCAGTTCAACACCTAAATTACCCAGTCATTAGTGCTGCCGAGCCAAGACTGTAAAACTATCCCACCAGCCCATAAGGGCCAGAACCTTAGCTGGTGTAGAGCAGCAAAGCTTCATTGCTTTCTGTTCATAGATGTGAACGTTTTCTAGGGTTGCCAACTTTCTGACCGAACAAAACCGAACACCCTTGCCCCCGCCCCTTACCCGAGGCAGGGCCGGCTCCAGGCACTAGCTTACCAAGCAGGTGCTTGGGGCGGCCACTTCGGAGAGGGGCGGCACGTCCAGCTGTTCGGCAGCAATTTGGCGGACGGTCCCTCACTCCTGCTCGGAGCAAAGGACCTCCCGCCGAATTGCCGCCGCAGATCGCGATCGAGGCTTCTTTTTTTTTTGGCTGCTTGGGGCGGCCAAAACCCTGGAGCCGGCCCTGACCCGGGGTCTCACCCACTCCATCCCCTCTCCTCCCTCTGTCACTCTCTCTCCCCCGCCCTCACTCACTCGCTCATTTTCACCAGGCTGGGGAGGGTCCCTTTTCGACTGGGTGTTCGGTTGAAAACTGGACATCTGGCAACCCTCTGGCCTCCTGTAAAGCCCAGGGCAGGGAACCCTCCCCCTGTGAATCCTGCACCTACCTCAATCATTTGAGGTTGAACTGGAGAAGATCTTTTACCGAGACAGCCAGGCTTGAGTTAAAGACGGCCAGTGATGAAGACTGTACCACATCCTTTGGTAAGCAGTTCCGATAGTTAATTACCATCGTACTTACAAGCCCCTGAAATCTGGCTCCAAGACAGCTACTGAACCATCCCAGGATCTACTAGACCATTTAAGAACCCGCATCTTTCCCCCGAAAGCCTGCAAAAAGAGATGGGGCCGTTGTCATTACCTAGGTTCTGGAGATGGAATGTGAAGTAGGAGGGTCTCAGCGGTGTGGACGCTGAAGAACCATTAACACAGACGTTGAAATCAATATATTCTGCCTGCCTCAGGTTTTGCAACGTGCATCCAGTATTTCTTCCATGAGTCTGAATATAGTCACTGCATTGCACTGCGTGATCCAGCCCTTCGTACCTACGCATAAGGTAGGAAAATTCTGTTACATGCCGTATTTAAATCAGGGATTTTTAAAATATTTGCACTGCGGTTTATTCTTCAGAAAGGTCTGCCAGGTCATTGACTAAAATAGTATTCATGATCCAATGAGTCAGTGAAATAAATATGAGAGATCAATCAAAAATCTACACCGGAATGGCCTCTTTAATCATAAGTCAGAGTGAATAAATATGAATATCACTACTTTATGATCATATAAAAACACCCCTAGTATTAAACATGAATCCTTTTTGTTCCCAGGCTGGCTGTGGTGAAAAAGCATTTGGAACTGAAAAAGAAGTTGTGTTTCATTTCCTGTTTTAAAAGATTGAGGGTTAAAAAAAATTGCAACTAATTAATGTAGGGCAAGGAGGCAGAAGAAGTCTTGTATTTTAATCTGCTCTTCTCTAAAGTTTCAGGCTAAACCAAATTAAAAATATGTTTACAAAGAAGGCCATGACTCAGTCGAAGTCTGGTGAGTAACACTGCAGCATTCTTGGAAAGGGGCACGCCCAGGTTATCGGGTAAGCCATCAGGGGGTCGCTCGTGATGACTGATGAGGTGCCATATGGCTGAGCGTTAGAACGTGGAGACTGCAGCTTTTACATCTGGAGCCAAACATACAGAACGTTCCCTTTTGCAATGAGGTCACGCGGCGCAGGAAGATTGCAAAGTAACACATCCCCTGACACAAGGCAGCAAAGTGCGTCAGTCTGCTGGAAACCCTGGAAGGTCTGGTCACTAAATGGACTCTAAGCCGAAGAGGTGTGAGCCCTTTCTTTCCAGGTACTGCACCCTGGGAAGATACTAGTGTAACAACTGCTACCCTGGGTCACCAGCAGGCATTCATCCCAGGGTTACGAATTCCAGCTTCTACCAGCAGAGCTAACGGAGGAACTCCCCTCGCTCTAGCAGCCTCCTATCCCGAGACCAGCTCCTCCAGAGGAAGCATGGCACACCCTGAACCCTGGTGTACACCACACCAGAGCCAGGAGCTCTTGGGGAGGAAGTGGTGCCTTGACCTGGAGCTGGGGGTACCTCGTTCTCTGTCACAGTAAGTATCTGTACGGTTACATTTCCCAAGGAAATCGCAGCCTAGTGCAGCATCAGGAATCCCTCCCCTCATCTGTGCCGGGAACATTCCTCCAGCCAGGGCCAAAGCAGGCCTGCACTCTGCTGTGGGCTCACGCTGGGAGATCTCCTGTTCACTTGGCTGCTTGCATTGCAGGAATGCTGGGCGCAGGCCAGTGGTGCCAGCAGGACGTACATTCCCAGCGGGGAGGGGGCTGTATACGGGCACGGCAGGGACATGGTGCTGGACCTGACCCCCTCTGTGTACTGGTTGGTGGCTGTGCTGGCCAGAGGGCTGTCTTTGTACACTGTGGGCCACTGGCACATACCCCTCCCCAGCCCAGCTAGAAGCATTATAGGCTCGGCAGGTATTTCACCTCTGGGGTTCCCATGGAGATACTCCTCCCCTAATACTTCATAACACTGAGCTCCAATATGGTCCTAAACATCCCATACTCCAGGGAGGGAACCGCCTTCCTGCCCAGATCCGGGACATTCCACTAGTGGGTCCATTTCTGCTAGGGCAGGACTGGTTCCCCAACTTCCCACTTGCTTGGAGTCCTTCCATGAAGTTTGCAGGAGGGCTGAATTTGGCCATTCTGTTCAAAGCCCAGTGGGAGTCCCAGTGCAGAATACATTATCCAGGAAAGGTCGCTCTCTTCACTGGACGTTGCTTTAATAAATAAACAAGCAACTCCTGCAATTTGAAAAATGACCTTGGTGCAGCTGCAATGTTAACTGGAACGCAGTCCAGCTCTGGGCGTTTGTTGCTGTGATGAGGTGTTCCAATTCGTAGTCACGTTTTTCAAACAGATCTTTGGCATTACTGTTACTAAAACAACTTCTCATCAGTTTTGATGTTTTTTGGCAAAATTGCTAAAAGCGTGTGGAAATCAACAACTGGATAGATGTCGGTGTCCCATTTGCATGGGGGAAGTAAAACCAATGCCTTACCAGGAATTCACTGACTCACTTTTGCATTGCTTATAACAAATGTGATAGTGTGTTGTTCATTTACTTTGATCCAAAAGTCCAACTTTGTTTTTCCTAAAGAAAAGACTCGTACGTGGCAGCGTGCAGCAGGTCAATCGGATAAACGACACGGAAGAAATCGCTGGACCATGCATGAATGAACGGCCCTTGTCTGGATGGGCTGGCACCACGACACTTTAACAGCCCCTCACTTTCGTGGGATACACATTCAGGGACCCAGAGTGGCTGGGGTGCAAAAGAAGACAAGAGCCTAGAAGCATTAACCTTCAGACTAGGCTGCTCACTAGGACTGGTGAACTCAAGCCAATTCCCACAACAGTCAGATTTACTTGACTTTATGGAGAGACGAAATGTATGGCTGACATGCTTTAGTTCTGCTGGGAAAGGCAGGGGCTTCAAGGTGCAACACACAAATGCAAAATACACACGGCAGCTGCAGAAAGCACAACCCCCATGACGAAAGGGAACCCTCACCAGGAGGCAAAGAGGAGGCTGCATTTATAAACTAAGGCCGGGGAGCTCACCCCTCTGGAACTGTGTGCAGATGGGCACGGGCCGTGTGTGCAGTTCTCTCCATGGCGGAGGCCCCGTCCCTGGGGCTAGGTGAGGATGGGGCCTGCAGACTGCAGGCCGTGGCGCTATGGGTGGTGTAGGAGGGACATGCCCAGACTGAGGTACATTTACCCACCGCCCAAACACAGCTGCGGGAGCCGTTAGCATCTCTGCTGATCCTCTCCGTGCTGTGTAACCTCTCTACAGGCGGGTCCAGGGCAGTGGCTGACATAGGGGCAGGGAGGGGAAGGGGGCAGAGGCAGTGAATCCCCCAATGTCCCTGGTCCTACAGCTAACCCCCTAGCCATTCTGCAGAGTGGGGGAGGGTAAACCCCACCCACTCTGTTCTGCTACTGCCCTCCTCTGTGGGAGGAGGTGATCTCGCCCTTTAAGAGCTGTCCCAGGTTACCCTGAAGGCAGCCAGAAGGGGACCCTCTGCAGTCAATTTTGAATCTTGAAAAGTTTAGTCTTTTTTAAGCCATTTGTTTAAGTGCGACTGTGAATCTGTGACAGTTTGTAGCCCTATGTTCATCTTTTTTACAAGGCTATGATGGATTCTGTACAAATTATGCTTTGTGAGGTATCGTTTGAAAACTCATAACTTGCTGATCATTACTGTCCTGGTAAAATGTGTGTGGCAACTTTGTATGTAAAGGTATAAGATTCTACTGAATAACATTAATGCGACATGCTCCATGTTTACAAAAGCAGGTGCATATCAGTTCCTCAAAGACAAAAGACAAACTGATGCCTCAGCCAAGTGTCAACAAAATCAAATGGTCTGTCGCCTGGTTAAGTGGCCATTCTTTGGCAGGAAAAAGGGCATGAGCAAGAAATTTACATTTTGGCAAAGAAACAGCAGGTGGTTCTGGTCCCCACATATTGTCTGTCTCCTGAACCTCAGCTGGAGATGATTTTCAAAGAAAAAGACAACTATAAGAAAGGAGAACAGAGGTCCCAAAATACTCCTCCCTTTCTCTCTGCCATGGCATCACCACCACCTGAAGGACAAGGAAATTAATGCTGAAGTGGGGGAGTGGTCCTGACTGGTAGGATTCTATCCAGTAAGACTGCTAAAGCACATGGTGAGAGACACCTTTGCTTTGAATTCATTTAGCTTGTTAAGTTAGGTGTTAGTTGCATTTTACCTTTTATTTTCTTGTAACCAATTCTGACTTTTACACCTCATTATTTGTAATCACTTAACGTCTTTTTGTAGTGAATAAATTTGTTTTCTTGTTTTCTCTAAACCAGTAAGAGTTTGGATTGAAATGTTTGGGAAACTCCATTTGGGATAACCAGATTTGTGCATATCATCTTCTATTAATAAATGACAGACCTTATGTGAGCTTGTATCATCCAGGAGGTGGCTGGGCAGTACAAGAGGCACATTTCTGAGGGAAAGTCTGGGACTGGGAGTTTGCTGGTGGGGGCTGGAGAATTGAGGGGACACGGCTGTCTGTCAGTCCAGATTGTACCCTGGGGAATGTCACAGAATCCCAGGCAGCAGAATACGAATTCTTCCCCATTAGAATATTCAGTGCTAACTGTAGGACAGTAATAATGATTTAGAGAGCCTCAGATTCCAGAACCAAACCCAAACTTTCCCAGGGCCATTGAGACCTGGGGTTTGGTACAGACAAGTTTAGAGATAGGGCTCCAAGCTACAAGGTTTGGCTCCAGACCCAGAGTTTGGGGGGTTCCAACCTAGGCTTTTGGTTTGGGCACATCTCTGCTAGAATAATTTGATACAAAGGCTGTTTTCAGGAGCCCCAAACCTTGGCTTTCAGGGTTCATGCTTTGTTCCCCATGTCTAGGTGCTAACATCTGTGTGTGGCATTTACCTATGAGTCATGTAATGGGGACACCAGCAACGAAAACAGAATTGCGACGTCTGTTTCTTTGTGCGATTCTAGTGTGCTGTTTGCCCCGTGAGACTGCTCCCCTGGCACCCAAATGCTTCCCCACCGAGCTTGTACGTACCAATAATATAACTCATAACATGCCCCAGGAGGAGCTAGCCGGCCCCGCTGCCAAGTGCATGTGAGGTGCTCCCAATTGTAATAGACACAGTGGAAGTCTCGGATCTGTGACTCCAGATCTCCTGTTCAAGGAAAAGGAAATAATGACTTTATTATTCGAAAGGCCCCGTTTGGCTGAGCTGAGAAATAGCCTTGCCAACCCATTTGATTTCTCTGAATCATCATGCTGACTTGTGTAAACAGAACAATCAAAATAATTTGATAGCCACGTGCCAGAGGGACTCACGAGTTTGGCAAACACTTCATTTTAAGTGACCCTTTGCATCTCAAACCCTATTTACATTATTTATTTGCAACGGAAGGGTGAAGAAGTGACCCTGGTTTAATTATTCAGAGGTGACATGTCTGAGCCATTGAGCAGATTTCAGCTAAGGGAAGCAGGGTCACAAGGCTGGAGGCCTGTCCCTGGTTTCGACTCAGTCTATGACTCGATGCGCGTTGTCAGACAACTCACTTCAGGGCTCTGCAATACTTTGCAAAGGGTTTTGAGAGCCGGAGGGGAAAGGCAGCGTGCAAGCGAGACAGTCCTATTGATCGCTGATGGGGAAGGTCAGTCGCATTCTCCCCTCCTGTCAGGGCATGGTGTGGGAGATCGAGCCAGAGTTCTCCTGTCCAGGGACTGCAGAGAGGATGCCTGCACAGGTGTGAGCCGGGAGGTCGAGCCAGAGTGCTGCTACCAGGGCACGGGCCGACGAGCGTTTAAGGATGTGTCTACGCTGCAATCAAAAACCCGCGGCTGGCCCGTGTCGGCCGGCTCAGGCTCGTAGGCCGTTTAACTGCCGTGTAGACTTGCTGGCTCGGGCTGTAGCCCAGACTCTGGGACCCTGCGAGGTGGGAGGGTCCCAGGGCCTGGGCTGCAGCCCAAGCCCAAAAGTCTACAGTGCCATGAAACAGCCCCGAGAGTCCGAATTCAGCTGGCCCGGGCCAGCCGGGGGCGTCTAACTGCCGTGTAGACCACAGCCCTCAACCAACAATGACAATTTGCTAAGCAAAAAAATGGCTTAACCTGGCAAAGAACATTTTCTGCATCTAGCAGCCTGACAGGCTCTGCTGCGCCTAATGCACCTCAGGTGATGGAGACGTACTGGGGCAGCAGTAACTTGGTTGTGGGACCTTTCAGTCAGGTCAACACATTTTTACAGGAAGACGTGAGGCCTGGAAAGGTCGCGTGGGGAACGGCAGCCTGCGTCTTACCTTGTAAAGGAACCTGGAAGGTAGCGTGAGTCCAGTCACTCTTCACTTCAGATTCATTCGTACAACGTCCTTCCAGCAGAGTCTGGACCTTTGCTTCAGTTCTCTTGCTGAGATCAAATCCATCGCCATATTTTAATTTCTTAGTAAAAACAACCTGGTGTAACACAGACAACACTGTAATCAACTTTTGGTGTTTATAGTGGCTGCAAAGTTTGCTATGTGTGCTTGCTCTCTACACTGTACTGTGTTGTATATACACCATAGGTTTACACACACACACACACACACACACACACACACACACACACACACACATACACACACG